TTTAACACTATCATTTACTTACTTGGTAAGATTTTAGTCAATCAAAAATGTATCGTATGCAACAATTTACTCGGTATATACTTACCGTGGTAAGAGTCATCGTTTTCACTTACCGKGTAAGAGGTCTTGGTCTTTGTCTCGCTCTTACCGGGTAAGATTCATGGTCCTTATCATATTYATCTGGTAAAGTAATTTAACTTGTTCACTTATCCGAGTAAGTGTTTGGTAAACGGCCCCTTAGCTTACCGTTAAGAATTAGTCTACTAAAACAACATTGGATCAAGTCTATTACAATAATTTTGGCCTTTTCAAACGACGGGTTATTTTATAAAAATATGGTTATGGATAATGGAGCAATGAGAATTTTTATCAGGTGATCAAACAACCTTGTCTTAAACTAAGGATAGGTATGGTTTGGAAATCATTTGCTTATAAGGTGCACGTGTCCAGGTTTTGATGGACGGTTTTGTAGCGAGAAAAGGTTGTTGTCTTAGCAAAAGATATTAGTATAGAATAGCCGATGCCATCAAATCTTCTGTGATGATAAGTTTCTCAATTTAATTTGATTGGTCTATGCTTCTCATTGTGTTCACTTTGAAAAAAGATATACTAGAATTTTATCTGTTTGGTTGCGTTTTGTTTCTATTGGTCTGCTGCAAAAAAACGTCGTTGTGCTATTAGATTAGCACCCGTGTTGGTTGATAAACAAAACATATATTAGCATCAATGTACACATATTTTTTTGTATTGATTTTAGAATTGTTTGTTTGTGTCATACATCACCAGGTTGAAGGGACTGAAGAGATCTTGAWACCTTCACGGTTTGAAAGTGATGGATCATCAATTGAATTGCCGGCAAAAGGTGAAGAAAACAAAAGCAGAAACTGTGCCAACAACAACAAGCAGGACGACTGGTCGTGGAGTAAGGAGGCAATTGGCGAGGTTAATGAATTGAAAACACTGATAGTTTCCAGCACCAGAAAGAAGGCCCCGACTACTTCTTGYKGCAATGTGGGGAGTCAACTGAATGAGTGTGAAGAAATCGCAAAAAACGAYTGTTTGGTGGAACATAAGACGAAGTGCATCCCAAATATACTGTAGCAGTTGCAATATATAGCCGAAGGAAAGGGACTACAAGATGAAATCAAGACACTGTTAAAAAGGAGACTACTGTTCAGAAAGTGTACAGCACAAGAAGATCAACAAGGTTAACTGCAAAGAAATCTGCAGAGCCAAGTGCGATGGAGAGGGAAATGAGTGAATATATGAAGATTGATTCGTTTTTGGATCGGAAGATGATTTGGGTCACCCCGTTCAAGAGAAAAGTGTGGGCTTAGGTATGCGTTTGACACTACTAACAGGTTTATATTTTTA